AACAGAAGATCATGGTGGGGGGGGGTGGGAAGGGAAGGGGGAAAAATAGTTACAAACCTAGAGGGAGGGAGGGAGGCAAACTGTAAGAGACTCTTAAATAGAACAAACTGAGGTTTGATGGGGCAGGGGGGAATGGGAGAGAGGGGAAAGTGGGTGATGGGCATTGAGAAGGGCATTTGTTGGGATGAGCATTGGGTGTTGTATGGAAGCCAATTTAACAATAAATTATATTAAATAAATAAATAAGATAATGCTGCTATAAACATCGGGGTGCATATACGCCTTTGAATCTGTATTTTTGTATCTTTTGGGTAAAAACCTAGTTGTGCAATTACTGGGTCATAGGGTACTTCTATTTTTAACTTTTTGGGAAATCGCCATTGTTTTCCAGAGTGGCTGCACCAGTTTACATTTTTATGTTTCTGTTAGTCATCTGGATGTCTTCTTTGCATGCCTGTTCATATCTTCTGCCCATTTCTTAACTCAGTTGTTTTTTGGGTGTTGAGTTTGATAAGTTCTTTATAGATTTTAGATACTAATCCTTTATGAGATATATCATTTGCAAACATCCTCTCCCATTCTGTAGGCTGCCTTTTAGTTTTGTCGATTGTTTCCTTTGCTGTGCAGAAGCTTCTAATCTTGATGAATGAAGTTCTAATAGTTCATTTTGCTTTTGTTTCCCTTGCTTCAGGAGTTGTGTCTAGTAAAAAGTTGTTACAGCTAAGGTCAAAGTAGTTACTGCCTGTGTTCTCCTCTAGGATTTTGATGGTTTCCTGTCTCATATTTAGGTGTTTCATCCATTTTGAATTTATTTTTGTGAATAGAGTGGTCCAGTTTTCCCAACACCATTTGTTGAAGAGACTTTTTTCCATTGGATGTTCTTTCCTGCTTTGTCGAAGATGAGTTGACTATATAGTTGTGGGTCCAGAAAAACCTTCTGGGTTTTCTACTCTGTTCTTCTGATCTATGTGTCTGTTTTTGTGCCAGTACCATACTGTCTTGATGAATACAACTTTGTATCGTAGCTTGAAGCCTGGACTTGTGATGCCTCCAGCTTTGCTTTTCTTTCTTAAGATTGCTTTGGCCATTTGGGGTCTATTTGTGGTCTTTTGTGGTTTCATACAAATTTTAGGGTTGCTTGTTCTATTTCTGGGAAGAGTGCTGGTGGTATTTTGATAGGGATTGCACTAAATGTGTAGATTGCTTTGGGTAGTATAGACATTTTAAATAATATTTGTTCTTCCAATCCACAAGCATGGAATGCTTTTCCATTTCTTTGTGTCCTCTTCAATTTCTTTCAGAAGTGTTCTATAATTTTCAGAGTACAGATCTCTAACCTCTTTGGTTGGGTTTATTCCTAGGTATCTTATGGTTTTTGGTCCAATTGTAAATAGGACTGATTCCCTAATTTCTCTTTCTGCTGCTTCATTATTGGTGTATAGAAATGCAACAGATTTCTGTACATTGATTTTATATCCTGTGACTTTGTTAAATTCATGTATCAGTTCTAGTAATTTTTTGGTGGAGTCTTTCAGGTTTTTTACATAGAGTATCATGTCATCTGCAAATAGTGAAAGTTTGGTTTCTTCCTTGCTGATTTGTATGTCCTTTTACTTTTTGTTGTCTGATTGCTGAGTTTAGGACTTCCAGTACTATGTTAAATAACAATGGTGAAAGTGGGCATCCCTGTCTTGTTCCTAAATGGCATTATGTTTTTAATTTCAAACTTCAATTTATAAAGGAAAGCAACTCTCTTTTCTTAGCCTAGCTAATGGTTTCACCAATTTTATTGATATTTCCAAGCACCCAGCTTTTGGTTTGTTGATTTTCCTTATTGTTTTCCTGCTTTAAATTTCATTGACTTCTAATTTTTATAACAGTTACTTATTTTAGGGGCGCCTAAATTTAGGTTTAGCAACCAACTTTGGCTCAGATCATGATCTTGCAGTCCATGGGTCTGAGCCCCATGTTGGGCTCTGTGCTACAGCTCAGACCCCGGAGCCGGCTTCAGATTCTGAGTCTCCTTCTCTCTGCCCCTCTCCCACTCATGTTCTTTCTCTCAAAAATAAATGTCAAAAAAAATTTTTTTTAAAACACCATTACTTATTTTAACTATAAACACAGGATAAAGTAATGTAGCACCTAAAGTACATTTAATTATTTATCTTAAAATATTTTGTTTGTAATACCTGTTAATATATTTGTAAGAAACAAAGAAAGCTTCAGGCTCCTTAAGAGTTTAATCTCTTAGGATAGTATGAAAAGATGGTATGAAATCAAACGCATAATCTGCAAAATTCTTAGGAACTTGTAGAAATGTACTTTATTTCATGCAAAGCTACATAATTTCCTATATTTTAATAGCTAATCAAATAAACATTTCAAAAAATTCATTACATCACAATAAGTTAAAATACTACAAAGCAACTGCAAGTCCACGAGTTTGTCAAAACCAAACTGAGAGAACATTATGCACAGATAAGGCCAAAGATGCTAACTCACGTATAGGTAGCACTTTGTAGCTTTTTCCACATACATATTTGAAAATATAGTGAGAATATGCAGAGAAAAATAGTTAAATCCACAACCCATTGGTCAGATAGGAAAACATTTGTCATTACATATCAGGTAGTAATGGCTGATTAAAGATAAATTTGGCATCATGCACCAAAAATCAACATAATGAACATTTAGAAAAATTATCAGATGCACACTTGAGAAAAACCTATCTTCCATTTCCCCTAACCCACTGAATTAAAGAACAAGCACTTTATTAATGCAACACAGGAATTGAGCTTTTGGTATACTTTGCTTGGGTACTGTTAGTTATAAAAAGACACTGAAGAGATGAAGGAATATTTCAAATTCACACTGGACTGAACTTCAGAATACTGCCCTAAGTAAACAGGATGTGGGTAGAACTTATTTGAGAAAGATTTTTAAACTACTTAAAAGCACTACAATTAGTTACTACAAAAACATTTTATAAAAATTAAATAACAGAAAGTAACAACATCAATATTAGAGCTCTTGTTTCAATGCTATATAATTTATAAATATATATTAGATTACAGTAATTTAAAAGACACGTCCACATGTTCTCTACCTTCTAAGATGAGAAAAATCCTTCAAGCTGTTTTCAAAGTATGGACAAAAACAAATCCATTGGATTGCTTTTAATAAAATAAATACACAGTCTCTCCCCTACAACTTGGTGTACTAAGTCAGGAAGATGCTAGCCAGCACTCTTTTGAGACATACAGCTCTAAGTGACTAGGTTGAGACGATTTTTATCAATAATATCAATTCAAAATTGTGCTGTATAGTCAGATTAATAAATTATGACTTTCCCATACATTATGTCTGCCATAGTAAACCACTCTTTCTACTCTTTTGCACTAAGTACAGAAAAAATATTTTAGAAAATGACGGGAGATCAAGATTACCACAAAAGGAAAAGATTTTCAGGAGGACAAAAAAAAAAAAAGGTTAATTATCCCCAGGGAGTGTGTTAAAAACAAATGTCTCTTAGAATATCAACGAGAAGAGGAACATGACAATATTCTTGCTTTATCAACAAATTAAAAATTACAGCAAGGTTTCAATCAACCTCAACAGACAAATCTTTTGACAATAAAATTTTAGGAAGACCAGGCTGAGCGTGAAAGGAATTAGAGGTGAGGTCATGCTCCCACTGATGGGACTCAGATGGGGCAAGGCTCGTGCCTGCTCTGTTGGGGGAGATGATCACAGGACCTGGTCCTCAGGAACTGGGACAGGGGATGACACGCCTTGGTCTTCCAGCTCTCTGAGCAGGAAAAAAGTCCTTTGGGAAGAAGTACCCTACATCGAGGGAATTCATATTTTAGAAGGCCTCCTGTAAACCCTCATGTAGTGTTCCAACCTCTTCTAATGAAAACTTTGCCAACGACGTAGGTTATTTATGAGTTTCTTTTCATAAAAAGATACCTCAAGGCTCTAAATCTTTTTGGGGGTTTTGTTTTGTTTTTAACAATCACTGGTTTTGGAAATCCATTTTTATGCCAAAACATTACACTGAAAATAAGGCATTTTAATGAAGTGCCCTCCTTAGTGACCTAAAGACAACACACCAAGCCACCTTATATCACATTCACATTCAGATGCTGCTTAGTTGTCTAGAAAAATCTGTTTCACTACTTTAGGTGCAACATTGCTATTCAAGTAGTGGGATCTGGCATCAGAACTAGTTCCTTTTGAGTGTACAGATCATCAGAAACAACTGTGTACACAAAACAGAAGAAAAATCTGTCAGTACATTAAAAATCACACTATAAAGAGAGGCCTCAGGTAAAAAAGGAATGAGGAAGGGAGGAAGTAAAGATAAAACTCTAAATCTATTTACTTCTCAACATTTAGAATTTAATGTAATGTGATTCATTACACTTCAGAGATTCAAGTATGTTAAGATCTTTCAGGGACATGTTTTGCCTCTTTAGTGCAAATACACTTATGCTTATGATTTTCAGTCATGGTCCATTCAAATCACAAGTACAAAACTCAACATTACTGAACAGTGTAAATTATAATAAGGGAGAGTTTGTTTTTCCTTTAAGATGGTAATCAACACACAACCAAGAACATTCCCTGAATCTATTACAAGATAAAAAATGAGGTTTGTTATTGCACATAAATGGAATTCTTTCATTCGTATGAAGTATACTTTAAAAAAAAAAAAAAAAACACAAATCGACTTTCCTCTCCACATTTAATTTCATTTGGGTACACAACCAGTGTAAATTTCAGAAGTGATACTCTAATCAAATAGAATTCAAAACCAAATCAACTGGGGCGCCTGGGTGGCTCAGTCGGTTAAGCGTCCGACTTCGGCTCAGGTCATGATCTCACGGTCCGTGGGTTCGAGCCCGCGTCGGGCTCTGTGCTGACAGCTCAGAGCCTGGAGCCTGTTTCAGATTCTGTGTCTCCCTCTTTCTCTGACCCTCCCCTGTTCATGCTCTCTCTCTCAAAAATAAACAAACATTAAAAAAAAAAAAAAAAAAACAAATCAACTCACAGCATTTTTTGATGGTATGGGTTGTCTAATTTTCCAATCTATTTTTTTATAAATGGAAAATCCTTGAAAGTTTTAATTTAGCTCTTACCACTCTTGTGAAATGAGGGCCTCTTTTGTGTTGCAATTATTCCACAGCCCTGTATTCATTTGGAAAGAGAGCAAATTCTAGTAATTAGGCTTATCAACCTTATGTCTTATTTTAATAATGATTTTTATAAAAATGCTCTATTGATAACAAGTTATTGATGTAACAAAAGTTAATTAGCAACTTACAGGTGATTCATGAAATTAATACATTATTAATTATTATTTTCTGCAATGGCTATTTGAATTACTGGTTTACTGAATATCCTTACCTAACGATTATTTACAAAAGTAATTTTAAAAGTGTAATCAGTTATCTATTATTTTATAAGAAAGACATCAAAAGCTAATTGTCAGAAGTAATTCTTCAGGAAATTACTCTGCATTTACAGTATCTGAATTTAGCAGTAATGTTTTGCATAAGCTTCTCCCAAAAGAAGACTTTTGTTCGTACTCCAGTTTTTTACACAAGGTGGCTTAACAAATATTAACTTAGTTCTCCAGCAATAAACTCTTTATTCTTCAGGGGTTAAATCATTACCTTATGAACTCAAATTTACCCAGTCAGGTAACGCCGTAAAATCCTGTAAGATAAATTCTGCTTAAAAAGTTGAACAGTCTAGATCACTTAAACAACCAAAAATCATTTGGAGAGTAACAAAAAGTCACAAAGGGAGCTACATTGTTTGTGAAGTATTACACATACTTCAATTACTATAATCATAACAATTTTAATAGTAAAGGAAAGTAGTACATTCCCCTACATATTCCTATCAATCTATTTTAGGGCATTATAAGTTACAGAAGTGACTGCATAATTTCTTCTCTTTTTCTGCTTCTACTTCTCCTACAGCATCTGGGTTTCACGACAAAACCTGATGAGAAACAACATTATACTTAAGGAAAATATTTCAGGGTAAACCCAAAGATGAAAAATACAAAAATATTATTTTCACAGGACTTTTGATAAATTATTCTAAAAACTGTTTTGCTTTGGGGACTTATAAGCTTCTCTGTAATAATAAGAAGCTGAACCCCTCTCTGGGCTGATCATTTCTCCACCCAACACCTTCAAGTACCACTAGGAAAAACAGCACAGCTAACAACTTATTTTGTTTTGTTTTTAACTCCAGCATACAAACATCAACTGAATACCCTCACAATAGTTTTGTGAGGTAGATCAGTAGGTAAATAACAAGTATCATCTTCATTTCACAAATGAAGAAATTGAGGCACTGAAAGGTTACATAATTTGCCCAAGGTATTCAATGGTCGATCATGAAACTACAAACAGTACTGAATTATCTCTGCTCCTGGCCCATAGCTCACTAACCACACTTTACAATGAAAGGTTGTGTGTGTTCTCAAATGGGCAGTCTAAATGATCTTTGACTTTTGAGACCTTTGAGAATAAAATCTATCCATTTGTAATTATTTTAAAGGGGGCCTAACCTCAAAGATCATAAAAATTGAAAAAAAATCAGATTAGGATGATATACTATTCCTTTCAGTATCTGCATAGAACTGTCTTTAAAAAATTTACATGGTAATACTAACAGCAAAATAAAAAATTTAAAATTATGATTCAAGGGAGGATTACCTTCAAGAAACATATAATCATATTGTTAGGGTGACTATAGAATTCATTTTCAAACTGGGATATCTAAGAGTGAAAGTGAACACAATTAACAATTACACAGAATTAACAGGTGTTAACCTGAGACTGTCATGGGCAAGCTCAAGAACAGTCACCACTGGGTGAATCCATAGCAGGGGTCTCTGAATTGCAACCATTTCAGGGACATAAAAAGCTCTCTGTAGCACGCTGTGCTCAACGGTACAGTATTCATTGTGCAATAAAACACTGATGACTTAAAATGCAATACGTAACTTTGGCTTAAACACAAAAGTTAATTTTTTTTTTTAAATAATAAGCATGTTTAACGAAGTTATTGCACATTTCCACTCTATAGACCACCATTTAGGGGCACCTGGGTGGCTCAGTCAGTTGTCCGACTGCCGCTCAGGTCATGATCTCATGGTTCCAGTGTTCCAGCCCTGCGTCAGGCTCTGTGCTGACAGCTCAGAGCCTGGAGCCTGCCTCAGATTGTGTGTCTCCCTCTCTCTCTGCCCCTCCCCTGCTCATGCTGTGTCTCTCTCACAAAAATAAATTTTAAAAAAATTTAAAAAGATTGAAATATGAACCACAATTTAGGTGTTAATAACTATTTTTTTTTTACCTTTTAATAACCAAATGTTATTTTTCAAAAAGCATAAATAGGCACCTTTAAAAATTAGAGAATTTTTATGGGACTCTTTGGCTTTTTAAAAAAAACCACCTGCTATTTACCATTAATGCTTCAGATTTTCCTTGAGTGGAATGATCAACACGTAAGTCAATATGCTAGATGATAAAGGTGAACATTTCTCCCTGAAATGAAAATCTTTTACAAAGCAATACCTAAAGCGTAAAATAATTTCCAGTTTCTACAAAGACTGAAAGAATAATACATCACCTGATTATAGTACACATGCTGAAGATACTAACACTGTCAGTTGAAGTATCATCTTAATTATACATGCAAAAACCCCCAAAATTTGCATATAGAGGTGAAAAAGAGCTTTCTACATTCAGTTATGTCTGGTAAGTAAGCCTTGTTTTAAGACATGGGTTTTGAAAATACCATTATTATTTGTGGTCTCCATCTCTTTGGGAAATACAGGATTAACATATTCTTTAGAAACAGCAAAAATGTAAATCACAACAATAAAACGTATGATGTTATTTAGTCATGACTTAATGGCTTTCCTGGACCTTTAAAACAACTTTCCTGAAAAAAATTAACCTGAAACAAACTGAACTACATATTCTCAACATATACTGATTTCTATCATGAACTGAACCCTTCCATTACACCTGTACTTCTAAGGCAGACACTTCAGGAATGGTAATAAATCCTATGAGAAAAGATGACACTCTATTCAATAGGCAATAAACTATGATTACTGAGATGTGATTAACTTTCAGTGCCATTTTTGTCCTGACACTTTTCATTAAGAGTACAGTGTAAATTCTAGGGCATACATATGTTCGTAAAAACTGAACTGATGTGTTGATCTTGGTTAGTTGTTCCATAAACTCTTTCAGACTTTAAACATCATCGAATATTCTGCTGTGAGACATCGAGAGGTATCGTCCACCAGGCTGATACCTGAAAGGTGGATAAAGAAATGATCTGAGGCATCAAAAATAACAAAGGAGGAGAGAAAAACAAGGACACATTAAAAGGAAGTGGATACATAATTAGTAAGCATAATTTGTAAAATCTATTCAGTAGCTGAAAGCAGAAACTTACTCTCCAAAGATATTACCCCAAGGGATTTACTTAACTATAAATTAACCAACAGCTTTTCCTGGAGCCTAGAATACACATATGAGAGGGTGAGAGATGTAAACAGAAAGGGATTGAAGATTTAATAATCACTCTTAATTGTTCAGTATAAATAAAACATTCTAGTGTTTTTCCTATTTGTAGGCAAAAATGTCTTCACGCGTATGATATTCATGCATATTTTCATGCATATGATATTTTGCTTTTGTTTAATCATTTTCACAGAGCATAGTGGCTAAAAGCACAGATTCTACAGCCAGAGTCCTGGGATTTGAACACCCAACTTTGCCACTTGCAAGCTGTGTGACTCTGGTTGAGTTACTAAGCCTCTCTGGATTCAAATCCAATTGGATTTACAATCATAAAATGCAGTATTATGGTTAATGTGCTTAGGATAGTGTCTGACACCCAGTCATAGCTATGTAGCTATTGCTAAATACGATAAATTTCACAGATTCTACCAATTTTAATTCTTTCTTGTTTATGATATCACTAGTAGTTTGTGGAGATAGCAATTTCAACTACCATCAATGGATGCTATAATTTTTAAAATAGAAAAGCATTAGAAGGTATAAAAAGGTACCAAAAGTTGATTAATATGGTTTTATTAGCAGTAAAGAATATTTTCCTTATGCTTATCTCATCAAATTGTATCTTATTAAAATTTCAGAATACTGGAGCCAAAATGACACAGCTAAATCTTACCTTCCTGGTTCAGATTCAAGAGGATCATCAGTGAATGTTTCTGCATTAAAATCCAAAGGTTCTACATCTTGGAGGAGCTCTATTCGGTCCCTTTCCGTCCTGTTATTAGCCCTGGTATATTTGGATGCTGCTGTAAAAAAAGAAAAAAATATGTCTACTTTTCTATGGCCTTTATGGGTCACAGTCTATGGACTCCCCCAAAATAGTTAAGATTATAAAGGACGTGAATTTTGATTGTGAAGACAACAGCAAGGAAAGATAACTACTTGATTCCTTAAAAATCAAATTAAAATGATAAATAGTATGACAGAAAATAACAAGGAAAAGTTATCCTTTATAGCTAATCTAAGCTCAGAAGCAGGTACAATGCAAACTCAATTAAAATGAATCAAAATTAACATTTAACTATGGTATCAAAACAGTGAAACTGTTCATTATCAAGTTTCCATTGGTTTCACAGTGAATCCAGGCTTGCTGTATCTCAGTTTTTGACTAGAATTTTCTTTAAAGTGTATTCAACTTAAGCTCTTCAAGAAAGGCCTGAGTCTTTCTCCCATTAGATAAGAGTTTAGGGCAGCAATGTCCAACAGAAATAAGATGCAAGCCCCATATTTACCTTGAAATTTTCTAATAGCTACATTAAAAAAGTAAAGAGAAACAGATGAAATTAATTTTAATATGTTCAATTCAATACATCCAATATATTATCATTTTAACATGGGACGCCAGCCACATTGCAAATGCTCAACAGCCTCATGTGGCTAATGATTACCAGCTTGGTCAGCACAGATCTAGAGAACTAACTCTCCCTTCTCTATGTGGACGAGGCAGATTTTCTTCATAAACAACCTAAACTTTCACAATGTTGTTTCGAGCAGTCCAATAGCTTCAAAAGAACTTTACGACATAGCTCTTTTTGAAAATTTAAAGTAAGCCAATTCAACGTTTATTTATTTTTGGGACAGAGAGAGACAGAGCATGAACGGGGGAGGGGCAGAGAGAGAGGGAGACACAGAATCGGAAACAGGCTCCAGGCTCTGAGCCATCAGCCCAGAGCCTGACGCGGGGCTCGAACTCAGGGACTACGAGATCGTGACCTGGCTGAAGTCGGACGCTTAACCGACTGCGCCACCCAGGCGCCCCAAAGTAAGCCAATTCTATCATATCTTACACTTTTGTCATCCTGGACTCTGCCCTTCATCTTTTCTCTCATTCACTTAGCACATATTGATTGCCTCCCATATTCCAAGTTCTAAGTCATCATCCTAAAGCACTGTATTTCCTCTTCTCTTGACCGTCCTCCCACACTCTCACATCTTTCCACTGCCCTACCTACTCTGTGGTAAACAAGTTTCCAAATCTTTCTAGAATTCTCCCTCTGTTACCTAGCTTTTTATTTTTTAATTTTGAGAAAGAGAGAGAGAGAGACCACATGAGGGTAGAGGGGCAGAAGGAGAGAGAATCTCAAGCAGGCTCAGCTCGATACAATGACCACGAGATCATGACCTGAGCCGATATCAAGAGTCAGACATTCAACTTATTGAACTATCCAGGAACCCTCTATTTCCTAGCTTTAACTAAAACTTTAGCCCTCTATTTCTTCTTCTTTTTTCTGAAGCTTATTTATTTTGAGAGAGACAGCGTGAGTAGGGGAGGGGCAGAGAGAGAAGGAGAGAGAGAATTCCAAACAGGCTCTGTGCTGTCAGTGCAGAGCCCAATGTGGGGCTCATGAAAACTTGAGATTATGACCTAAGTAGAAACCAAGAGTTGGACCCTTAACCTACTGAGCCACCCATGCCCCCCTCCCATTTCTTCTACCCTAAATCTCATTCAAACACATCCTTTCTTCCTCATCTCCAAGGTCACTGCTTATTTTAGGCCCTCATCATGTCTTGATCGCATTACCAAAACAAATTAAACAGGTTTCTGTGTCTCACTTCCCTGGAAATCATGCTGTATACGGTGCTATCAAATTTATCTTCTAAACCAAAAATCTGAGCATGCTCCTTTCCTGATTGAAATCTTACCTTTGGGATAAAATCTAAACTTCTGGGCATGGTAATACCTGCTTCCCAACTATCTCTGTAGCCTCCCCTTATCAGGCTCCTCATACTTCAGGCTCTTGTCACAGAAACAAACTTGCATTATTCCCCCAAGATTCTCACAAGTCACTCATTCGCCCTTCTGCCTAAAGCACCTTAATCTGGCTAAGTACTGTTCATTCCCAAATACCCAGTGAATATTTCTTTATCACAGAAATCCTTTTGCAGTAAAGATCTCTTTTTCCATCCCCTGAGTTGAGTTCCCTCGGCATCAGGTGTGTACCCCTCTACTCTCTCAGCGTTTCTGCGTCTCCCCCAAAGACAAGCATCCTCTGCCATCTACTCAGGTCAGAGTCCTGGGCAAAAACAGGTTTCTTGCCACCTTCCCAGGGCAGATGGCAGGGTCGAGGATGTGAGGAGGTTTCCTATCTCAACCCACCGGCAAATGTCTTCTGCTTGGTATCAGTCCGTCACTAAATTAATAAGCAAACCCAAGGACGGGAAATTTATCTTCTCCATGTCACTGTGTATCTAGGAAAGTACGTGACATATATGGGTCAGTTAGGAAACTGTTATAAAATGACTGAATTGCCTACATCTACTAATAGAAAAGTAAAGAACAACATCGAGGTAAATAGTAGAAATCAGCATCTGCCTACAACATGCCTGGGTAAGTACTGATTACAACTCTTCATTCGCTCTCCCAATTTCTCCTTCTCCTCCCAGAATGCATATTTGGGTTTCCCTTCCTTCTATACACTGAGGGATGAGAAAGGAAAGAACTACAGAACCACATTTACAGTTCTATAAAGACATTTTTGAATGGATACCCTAATTCTCAGTCTCCATGCAAGCAAGCATAATAAAACAATTTCTAAGGGAACAGGAAAATAAACTACTTACATCGGTTGGTACTAATATCTGAGAGGTTTGATTCTTTCGGGTCAACATGAACATTTCTGTTTCTAGTGGAGTCTTCTCTATTGTGTCCATAACGTTCTTTCCATTCCTAGGACAGAAACACAAATAAATATATAACAAAAGAACTCACAGGCAGAAAATAATTCATCGGTATCAACAGATTACATATGCAGAGTAATAAAATTCAGTTATTCTCATCAGAAATTCACCAGATAATCAATATGATTAGCTTAGTGCCATTAAAATTTTCAAAAATGATTTTTCTTGTCACTACATGATTTTAATACAGTCTCCAAAGTTTTACAAATGAATATTTACAGACATATTTGCTAGCTATAATTAACCATTTCAATTCTTCTATCTAATGTCAAAACATTAACCTTTTCAATTCCTCTAAAATGTCAAAACATTATAGCTACAGTAAGCTTACCTTGACCATATAAAAGTTATAAGAACTCATAATAATTCATGACATGTTAACAAAATTTTCTCCCATATGAATAAACTATAACTACCAAAGACCTGAAAAGTCACTCTGGATAGCAAAATCAGAGTTGTGTACAAGATGATTAGATAACTGCAGTCAAACCATATTAAGGGAGATACTACTCAATAAATTATTAGAACTGAAAGGAACATTAGAGGTCACCTAATTCAACTGCAGTACAGTTTCATTCTAAAATAGCCATGCCATGGGCTCTCTTATTAGAGGACATGAAAATTTCTTTCTTTTAGAGAGAAAGTGCACATGCTCTTGCACAAGCGGGGGAGGAACAGAGGGAGAGAGAATCTTAATCTCATTCTCCAGTGCAGGACTCGACACAGGGGCTTGATCTCATGACTGTGAGATCATGACCTGAGCTAAAATCAAGAGTCAAGAGTCGGACGCTTAGCTGACTGAGCCACCCAGGGGCCTCAATGACATGAACGTTTCTATGTGTGAGTGGTCCATCACAATTTTGATAAACTGTGGAAGTTAGAAATTTTCATTGAGAGGTGAAATCTGTCTCCAGTAACTTCCCCTTTCTGTTCCTAATTATGTCTTCTGAAATAAACAAGTTTCCTTTCATACAACACACACTATGAAGACAACCATCAAGTCTCCTCCTTCGAGTCTTCACTTCTCCAGTACAGATAACACCAAGGTGTTGTAAATTTTGTGGTAACTGTGACTTAGATTTTTCTAATTTTATGCCCTTTCACTTTCTATGAGGAGATTAATTTGCCTCAGCAAACAGAAAACTGAAGAAAAATTGAAGAGGAACAAAATTAATGTCGTATTACCAAAAAAGTATAACAACTTTAAAGCAATCAAAAGGACTTTAATAGCAAGACTGCACGAATTTATTAATTCATTCAATAAGTATTTCCTGAGCACCTTTAGACAAAAAACTGCTAGACACTGGACATGAAATAATTTAATACTAATAACTTTTAACACAGGTCTGACAAGACAGTTAGCATATACATCTCAAAGTATTAAAATTAACTTTTTAAAACAATGTGCCCTACGTCATTTTCCCACTGTTCTTTAGACTTTAGCCAATTCTAAATCAGTAAAATTCTCATGATACTTCACATCAGTCTTTAGGTCACGGCAAATTAAGTACTATACTTACTCTTCTTCGATTTTCACCTTCTTCTTGCCTTTGCCTTTTTCTCTTCTCTAGAGACAGAAAAGCGGTCTCAAATTTGGTATAACATGGTTTAATTAGACGTAGAGTAACTGAAGTAAAGGTATCAGGCTATGACCAATTTCCTTTAAATTACTACAAAGTCAAAAGTAATAGGTTATTGTTGGAAAGGACCTTAGAGGCCACCTAAGTCCACAGAGAATCCCTTCTGTATTTTTGTTGGAGATGACCTTTAGGCTTTGTCTGAACAGTTTTAGTGAGGAAAAAGTTCTTCATTTGAAATTTGTTTGTAACTTCTCTTTTCTTTGCCTTATCTTCTAAATTAAGTTGATACTTCTTTCTGCATAAAAGTCCTTTCCTTTATTCTCTTCAGGCTATATACTCAGTGTTTTGTGCGTGCGTGCGTGTGTGTGTGTGTGTGTGTGTGTGTGTGTTTTATAAGATATGCTGTACATAATTCTGGCTGTCCTTTTCTAAATACCTTCTAACTTGTTAGTCCTACTCTTGAAATCTTACCCAGGACTGAATATGATACTCCAGATGAAGTCTAATTAATGCCAAAAGCAGAACCATCACATCAACTAGACCCCACCTTCCTAGGAGAGAATGTGAAGGCTACAACAACTTCTATTGGAGCTACAACACATTTTGGCTTATACTTAACTAACGATCACATAAAAACTCCAGACACACATAGGGAGAATGTCTAGGAATCCATGTCCCGACACTCAAGTTCTGTTTTCTTTTTTCCCTACCATCACTTTAACATCAGGAAATTTGATACATTCAGTGTTAGATTCTAGTAGAATGCCACACATTCTAACAGGTTGTTAACAATTATCACATTCTAAAAACCAGCCTTGGCTTGAATGATTTCCTCTGTAGTATTAAACCGATGATTCTTTCAACTCATGAATTTTACAGTTGTACTGAACTTAGCAAATCTGTTTCCAGACAAACATGAAAATGACTCCACACCATCCAAGAGCATTATTTAGCTGAAGACATACTAATGATTTCTGCTACAATATTTCTTAAAGTCAGATGAAACCATTTGTTTTCAAATTATTTTTGCTATGAAGCCTGTACATAGATTTTTAGTTAAAAATATTAACTTCTTAAGATAGAATAATAATGATAAATTATACAATTTGAATTTTTTATATTTTGAGTCTTAGTACTTTCATTCATTTATTTTAAAAGACAAATCGTACCTCGTCTGATTAATTCTTTTCCTTCATCAACCAAGTCTGATGTCATGTCATTATCTCCCATGAACTGCTGGAAACCAAGCAGATTCAAACAACGCGTTCCCAAACTAACAAAAGATTTTAAAAAAGATAAGTATTATTTCTCATTGTAAATGTTTAGATAAACTGTTCTTTAACATCATTGCCCGAAAGAAGCCTACGTTTTGTTGTTAGTTATCATGGCAAGTTATGTAATTAAATTTGTCTTTTTTTTAAAATGTTTATTCCTTTCTGAAACAGAGAGAGACAGAGCACAAACAGGGGAGAGGCAGAGAGAGAGGGAGACACAGAATCCAAAGCAGGCTCCAGGCTCTGAGCTGTCAGCACAGTGCCTGGCATGGGGCTTGAACCCACGAGCCACAAGATCATGATCTGAGCAGAAGTCAGACACTTAACTGATTGAGCCACCCAGGCACCCCAACATCTGTCTTTCTTGAAGAAGGACTTATTTCTCTAAGGAGCTTATATACCCAGTATTCCACTGACAGGGTATGTACCATACCCAGATTCCTTACAAAAACAAATTAAATTGGGCCATTAGAATACCTTCAGAAATCATACAGGGATTAAAAACAAAACAAAACAAACAAAAAAAAAAAACCAATGCAATCGCTATAACACAAATACAATTCATTCTTTTCTTATATTAAAAAAATTTTTTTAACATTTATTCATTTTTTGAGACAGAGACAGAGTGTGAGTGGGGGAGGCGCAGACAGAGAGGGAGACAGAATCCAAAGCAGGCTTCAAGTTCCGAGCTGTCAGCACAGAGCCTGCCGGCGGGGCTCGAACTCACGGACCGTGAGATCATGACCTGAGCCAAAGTTGGATGCTTAAACGAATGAGCCACCCAGTTGCCCCTCTTTTCTTATATTCAAACAACAATTTTAGTGTTGAAAATACGCACAATCTGTATCTCCAAGTGTAAAATATCCTGGTTTAGAACATCTTAACTATGTAAGTTGATATTCATGTTCATTTTTTTTAACCTGAGAGCTAGTCAATTCTATTTAAATAGCTTTTATTATAAACTCAGAATTGATTACTATGTCTTACCTGGGGGCTATTATTTTATCTTATTTGGTATTTACTTTAAACCTCATTGCTGTGCAGGACAAGAATACTCTGAAAATATGACACACAAGGAAAGAAGCAATGGATAGACAAGCAGGATTAATACTTAAGATCCCATTATACATCAGCCAATTTACAGATACTCTCTTATTCACTGTAATTCTAAGAGATAGATATCATTTTACAGATAAGGAAACAGAGGCCCACAGGGTTAAATACTTTGCTAATGATCACTGAATAAACTTTAGAGCTGGGATTTAAATCCAAGACAAAACAAAGACTAAGCTCTTTTTATTACCTTAGTTTTCAAACTTTTTTACTGATGTACTTCTACTAACAGAAGCCTGAACACACACATGGAGCAAGGAGGGAGAGAAAAAAAGGAGGAGGGAATAAGCGTGTGTGTGCACACAGGTGCATGCACTGGGAGGAGAGGAAAACAGTGGAGCAGTGACACGAAAGTGAAGGTCTTCCATTTTATATTACCAATGTGTAACACTCTGATGAATTCATAATGCCTGCTTGCTTTAATATATAAAGAATGTTTTATATAACTTATCACTGAGCAAAATTGGGGTGTTGGGTAGACGGTCATGCTAATTCTGTGACTTTAATTTTTTTTTTAATGTTTTTATTTATTTTGAGACAGAGAGAGACGGAGGATGAGCAGGGGAGGGGCAGAGAGAGAGGGAGACACAGAATGCGAAGCAGGCTCCAGGCTCAGAGCTGTCAGCACAGAGCCCAACATGGGGCTCGAACTCACTCACTGAGTGTGAGATCATGACCTGAGCTGAAGTTGGACGCTTAACTGACTGAGCCACCCAGGCGCCCTGCTAATTCTGTGACTTTAAATATTCCTTTACTATCTTCATAGCCTTGTAGGAGTATGACACCCTAGTATGAGAAGCCCCAAACTAGATCATGGTCTCTGAGAAGGTCATAGTTTTTCCTAAAGTATCAGGAAACAGCCTTATGGTCTCTAGGCAGTTAAGTCTGAATATGAACTCTGGGCATGGCTGTGTTGTTGGTAATACGGAAATTAGACTAATTATGGCAGCATTCCAAAGAAAACAGAACTAGGAAGAAAGTTACCATTAAAACGTAAGTAAGGCATTGCTTCATACGTTTCTATAATAGAATATCTATTTTGAAAGGTAATTTGAAAATTCAAGAAATCTGCCCTTTTCCTAAAAGACAAATTGTGACTTTGAACTAAAATAAAAACTCAACTTGTTAAAAAATAAATAAAATAAAATAAAATAAAATAAAATAAAATAAAATAAAATAAAATAAAATAATAAAAGACAAATTGTAAATCAAAGTTTATCCTAATTCTAAAACAATACCTTTAATGGATTATTTTCAATTTTAACAAATTTTCTTTTAGACATAATTCTTTATATTTAAGATTTTATAGTTGATAAACCATTAGTTATTCTACCCATCTATTACCTGATCCACATAACAATCTAATAAGGTAGGAAGAGATGCTAATCTTGCCAACAAAACTACTAACGTGTGAAAACATAATTCACACATCACAAGCTCTTAATGTTTCATTAATAGTTTTATAAACTTAAAACATTTTTTTAAATTTACTTTTATGTTTTTATTTTATTTATTTATTTTTTTTTATTTTTTTTATTTATATATGAAATTTATTGTCAAATTGGTTTCCATGCAACACCCAGTGCTCATCCCAAAAGGTGCCCTCCTCAATACCCATCACCCACCCTCTCCTCCCTCCCACCCCCCATCAACCCTCAGTTTGCTCTCAGTTCTCAACAGTCTCTTATGCTTTGGCTCTCTCCCACTCTAACCTCTTTTTTTTTTTTTTCCTTCCCCTCCCCCATGGGTTCCTGTTAAGTTACTCAGGATCCACATAAGAGTGAAACCATATGGTATCTGTCTTTCTCTGTATGGCTTATTTCACTTAGCATCACACTCTCCAGTTCCATCCACGTTGCTACAAAAGGCCATATTTCATTTTTTCTCATTGCCACGTAGTATTCCATAGTGTATATAAACCACAATTTCTTTATCCATTCATCAGTTGATGGACATTTAGGCTCTTTCCATAATTTGGCTATTGTTGAGAGTGCTGCTATGAACATTGGGGTACAAGTGCCCCTATGCATCAGTACTCCTGTGTCCCTTGGATAAATTCCTAGCAGTGCTATTGCTGGGTCATAGGGTAGGTCTATTTTTAATTTTCTGAGGAACCTCCACACTGCTTTCCAGAGTGGCTGCACCAATTTGCATTCCCACCAACAGTGCAAGAGGGTTCCCGTTTCTCCACATCCTCTCCAGCATCTATAGTCTCCTGATTTGTTCATTTTGGCCACTCTGACTGGCGTGAGGTGATATCTGAGTGTGGTTTTGATTTGTATTTCCCTGATAAGGAGCGACGCTGAACATCTTTTCATGTGCCTGTTGGCCATCCAGATGTCTTCTTTAGAGAAGTGTCTATTCATGTTTTCTGCCCATTTCTTCACTGGGTTATTTGCTTTTCGGGTGTGGAGTTTGGTGAGCTCTTTATAGATTTTGGATACTAGCCCTTTGTCCGATATGTCATTTGCAAATATCTTTTCCCATTCCGTTGGTTGCCTTTTAGTTTTGTTGGTTGTTTCCTTTGCTGTGCAGAAGCTTTTTATCTTCATAAGGTCCCAGTAATTCACTTTTGCTTTTAATTCCCTTGCCTTTGGGGATGTGCCGAGTAAGAGATTGCTACGGCTGAGGTCAGAGAGGTCTTTTCCTGCTTTCTCCTCTAGGGTTTTGATGGTTTCCTGTCTCACATTCAGGTCCTTTATCCATTTTGAGTTTATTTTTGTGAATGGTGTCAGAAAGTGGTCTAGTTTCAACCTTCTGCATGTTGCTGTCCAGTTCTCCCAGCACCATTTGTTAAAGAGACTGTCTTTTTTCCATTGGATGTTCTTTCCTGCTTTGTCAAAGATGAGTTGGCCATACGTTTGTGGGTCTAGTTCTGGGGTTTCTATTCTATTCCATTGGTCTATGTGTCTGTTTTTGTGCCAATACCATGCTGTCTTGATGATGACAGCTTTGTAGTAGAGGCTAAAGTCTGGGATTG